TTGAAAAAAGTTTTTTTTCGAAAAAAAGAGAAAACCTCTTCAGATTGTAGACACGCATACAGAATACAACCAGCATTTAAATATCCCCAAATAAAGTCAATAATTCCTTCAGAAACTGACTCCAAAAATGAGAGGTTAGTACTGTAATCACTTTCAAAGCTCATGAACTTTTTTTACAGGGCCGGGGCGGAAAAACTGACTTCAGTTCTATATTCAGCGTGCCCAAAAGTAATAATGACAATAGTTTGAGCCAAATCGAGAACATGCGATTTGTCTAGAATCCTCGATGAATCACAATTCTTTGAAAATTGCGGAAAAATAGATGAAAACAAAAATTTCGATAATAAAAGGTAAACCAGTTAAAATCTAAAATTGAAGCCAATTTCAAGTATAGGTACCCATATAGCGATCCGGGTGTCGTTCTATTAGAGGTTTTACGGTAAGTGAAGTTTCAAAATAAAAACGTTTAAATGTGCCTATAATTACAGCTGAAAACTCTGAAACGAATTTCACAATTGAACGAACGAATCAGACTTTATATAGAAAAACTATATGACCTAGTAAAAATATCTGACTTGTGCGAAAAAATGAGTCACATCAGAAAAGATCAAAAAATTGTACAGAAAAAAGTAAACACTCCCAGACGGTGATGCGCTATGATGTGTTTGTATGTATTTCAGTTCCTGATTCATTTTTGAAAATAATTGATAGTGTGATAAAAGTTGAATTATCAGGCGATATTCAGTGTATTTAGAGCAGATTACCTACAGAAGAAGTACGTCAAAACTTTGACTCAAAAGAACGTCGTGCGTCAGTGGTAAGGAAAACTTCCGTTTCCGTATCCGTTTTTAGTGTTTTAAGGTTTTTACAAGGGTTTTTTCTGGTTACATTTCCTTTTTTCGGAAAATTGAATTTTATTTATTTTTCAGTTTCGTTTTTCGGAATTTTTTTCGATTTTGATATTCCATTTCTGAATACAATACTATTTAAGCAATATTGGTTCAACTTTTCTTCTGCTAATTCGAATTTTTGAGAATTTTGAATTCCTTATCTAAATTTCTTATACTCGTCACACCGGTCACTTTCCTCCTTTTTCTCTCTACCACTCGCTTCCTCGCCAAAGAACGCACTCTCTTCCGCGCCTTTGACTTCCCTCTCTTTCGGTGCTTCCGTAGCGCAGTAGGCAGCGCGTCAGTCTCATAATCTGAAGGTCGTGAGTTCGAGCCTCACCGGGAGCAAGTTTTTTTGTTTTGTTTTTTAAGGAAATGAACAGTTTATTGACCCGAATATCAAATCATGTGTGTAGTTGTATTATGCGTCTGTGTTGTTGGATGCGGAGACCACTTTGAAATTGTTCCCACGTTGACTTGAACCAGGCTAGGCATTTGCTTTTTCGTCACGACTCCACAACAAATGAACCATTTGACTATGGACAGAAGGTAGTGGACAAACCGGACTACTGAAACGAAAGGGATAATTATAATTGTCGGATAACGTTTTGTTTATCAAAGACCATTACATGATTTTGCGACTTTTGTTGTCATCGGTGTGCAGACGACGAAAACGATAATTGTGATGACTCCTTGGTGTACCAGGCAGAATATTGTGGTGTAGATGGCAACGTTGGTTAGATTTTTGAAAAATGCCAATATGGCACAAGTGACAACAGGGATGAATAGGAACATTGTGTGGGTGCAGACCTGTAATTTGGAATTTAGATGGCCTAGAACAAAAACTAGGCCATCTATGGTTCTTGTAAGATCAGGAACTCCAAACATGAGTCACTTGACTTCTTGAACCTTTCACTATTTTTGAAAATTCTCTATTAATTCAATTGATCACTGACTTATTTTTCTGCAATAAATCTTTCAAAAATATTTTCCGCATAATATATCTTTCAAAGATCATTAGGTTTCTTTCATTTTCCCGGTCAAAAAGTTCCCACGACTACCAAAACATTCGGATCAGATCAGATGTTTTGGGAAACACTGACCACAACTTTTCTGTTTTCAAAATGGAAAGTTGTAGGTCACAAGAAAAAGAGAGTTGTCAAAAATGATTCAATATGTTCAAATCAAATTGATATTTTGATTCGTTTACTTCTTTGGAGTCAATCAAATGGGCAACACGGATAGAGTCACGTACCTGAATCACGAAACTTTGCATCAATTGCTTTTGAGTTCTTAAAGTTTTTACAGAAGATTGTGGACTTTTTGTGCTCAACACAATCAAACTAGCGATTCCCATAAAGACCATAATGAAGAATAAAACTGCTAAACCTCCAGCAGCCAGCGCATTTGGAAGAATAGTTTGCCACATTGACAAATCAACTATAGCGAAATCCGGGCAGAAAATGATTCGGGAATTATAGGTCTGAAATTCTTCAATTTCAGAATAATACCCTCTAAATCTGCTCACATTAAATGCTCCCATCTTTATCTGGACCACAAATGGGGTCGACAAAAAAACCAGTAAGATACTAGATCCGCAGCCAAGAGATACAAAAATTGAAAGGATGAAAACTACAGTACTCAGATGGATCAATGATCGGTATTTGTTAAGGACCATCATCCGGGATATGGTGTAGAGACGGGCGTAGAAGAGATGGACCATTGAGAGGAGAAGGACTGGAAAACATACCGTAAAACCTGTAATAGAAGGGTCCCACACTTAGAGACCAAATATTTCAATTTCTGTGCAAGATATCAAAAAAGTGTCAACTGACAAATTACTTCTGCTATTATGATAATCAATTTATCAGTAGATAATTTTTTTTTAATCTTCAACAGGAATTCAGGAAAATTGGCTCGAAGTTAATATATCTCAGAAAAATCCCTTTCTTCCAATCATACATCACTAATATAAATTCTTGTTATTTGAAATCAAATCACCGTTCTTTTTTTTGTTTTCAAACTCAATTTCCTTCAAACACCTCAGATTGAATTCTTGAGTCAAAAAGTCAACTTCCAAGAAACTCAATTACTTTTTTTTGACTTTTAAAACGCAGATGTTGAGTTTTTGCCCCAACTGAACTAAGGTGAACTAGGGTATGGTGAATTTTCAAGCAACCTGGGTCCCCTAGAAATTCGGTAATTGAATATTGGTTGAAACATTTGGAATGCACGTAGGTTCGAGCTTAATTAGGTCAGGGGGAATGGAATGCGTCAATCAAATGTTGCAGAGGGTAGAAACCAATGTTGGGATCAAAAAAGCTTTACATTGAGATCTAATTTTTTGAAATTTTGGTTAAGGGGAAAAATCTAAGATACCGTGTTTCCTCTAACATAAGAAGATTGTGTTACATCACTCTAATCATCAGTTTTGAGCTCAATTATCTCAATTCCTATAAAAGATAACAAAAACCTGACAACTGATAAAAAATTTCTGATATAATGATAAGCAATTCATTAGTAGACAACTTTTTCATATCTTTGAAAGGAATCGAGATAATTGAGCTCAAAGTTAACGGTTCGAAACAAATACAGTCAACTTTTTGGAACACAGTTTCAAAGTACAAATTTTACTTGTTAACAATTTTGTGAATGCTATTACAATTCTTGAAATATCAGTGCTCCAAGATGAACCTTATAAAGATAACATAAATGTTTTCGAATCCCGATGACGCGCATTATTCTAAAAATGACATTTTGCGATTCTGAGAATTCCCAAAACAAAAAAAAATTCCTCTTCTGATTTCTGAAATTTTTTCAGGCACCTATTTTCATGATCTACGATACTATAGGAACACCTTGACCCTAGATTTCCTTATTATTTTTCGACCCACTTCCTCGAATATGTGTCAAAAAAAAACACACACTCACCGAAAACAACCCAAACCCATACGATCCACAACTCGATTGCATTCAATTCCCACGTTCTTACAACTCCACCAATTTGAAATCCGAACATTGGAAGATGAGCAACGGGGCGGTAGAAAATGCACACATAGATTTGATGAATGAAATTCCAAAAGTGATGGTTCAAGATAGCCGTGTGTTGATGGGAGAGTTTCAAAGAGCCATTCTGCTCGACGACAAAGAATACAATATAAATATAGAACCAAACTGATACAAATGGGGAGTACTCCATTATCCAGTGATATGGGATACTGTAGTCGATAGTGCAGTTGCCAGGAGACATGTCAGGTAGAGGGGTGGCCATTGTTCTTCTGGGGAAGGGGAATGTTATGTTGTGCCAGTGAATGAATGGAATATACAAAGCGAGTTCGAGGAAATGGGAGGGCGGGCGACTGAGCTGACAAAAAAAGTAGGTGCCCCGAGACCTGATTATTTTTTATAGCGTGTGTGGTGTGTATTGGAGGGAAGGGGGTAAAGGGAAATTGGGGAAGTCTAAAAAATTGGAAAATCAGAAAAATATAGGTTTGGAACGAAAAATGAAAAGATTTTAGTGAGAAAAGAATTTTTAAAAAATAAAAGAAAAAAGGATTTTGGAGACGTTTTTCATAGGTTAAAGAATTTATCATTTCCCTAAAAAAATTCAATGGCGAATGCTTTATAAATAGTAATAGCTTAAAACACTGGAAAGATTTTTTTTTGAAATTATTGAAAAAATCCGAAATTTCCCAGAAAAGTCCTATAAATTTTATTTTGTGACACCGTACACTTTCACTTTAACCTCAATTATACAGAGATAATTGAGCTCAAAGTGCATCTATAGGAGGTACTTCTATTAGAGCAATTATGGTTGTTGTTTTGACACTGAAAAAATGGATTAAGTTCTAATGAGAATAAGAGAAAATTTGAAAAAATGACAAAAATAGTCGACAAACTACAAATTTCAGGTTTGGAATAGGTTATAGGTTTTTGAGCGTAAAAATTTCTGAAGTGGAAGTTACGGAAACAATTTTGTGGGACAATTTTTGGGACCAATTTTTCGTAGCGCCAAATTTAAAAGACTCAGTAGTCAGTTCATGTGAAAAAGCCTCATATCAATTAGATTCTAACTATGGAACCAGAATTTTCTATATTCTCATCTCTGGTTCCTATATCCGACACAAACGGTGGGAAAATACAACTTCTTCAATGTGAACGAGCAGCACTTTATAATGATGTATGTTTTCAGAACACAGGAGAACATTTTCAGCAAGAAGTATTCATTATGGACAATTATGGGAAAAAAGTTGGGAGAAGATCAAAAAATTTACATGTAATTGGTCGGGAAAAAGAAAAGACCGAAAAATCTCAGAAATACGGGGATGAAATCTGAGTTCGGACAGGAAAGGTTCATCAACAAGGAAAGGAATTGGGGGCGGAGCTTGAGCTTTGATGAATAGATGTTTCGCGTTGGTGGAGGTCTAGATGTGTTCGGAAAATTAAAATAAAAGTTTTAAAATGTCAGGAACAGGGAGAAAAAAAGCCAGGGATAGGGGGTGGAGCTTGAGATATGCCTTTTATCGAACAACAAGAGTTCTAGGTATGATGTTGTGAAAATAATGGGGGTGGTCTAGACATGGTACTACAATGTATGGGGAAGAGAAGGAAATATAAACAAGAATTCGAACAGAAAGCACAGAATTTTAATTAGATTCAGGAAAAAACGACATTCCAGAAAAGATGGCTTATACTTATTAAAATTAGGAGAATCTGATTGAATACATTGTAGTCATTTTCATATGATTTTTGATCATGGTTTTTTTCTTTGAAGAAAACCAACAAAAACTTCTAGAGCTTTGGCATCTCCGTAGACGGTTCGCACATCACCCATTCCTTCATGTTTGGCTGAAAGTTCCAATCTTGAGTGATAAGAAGATGATTTGTGAATCCACAGATTTCCGGGACCGGAACCATATCGACGGAGCGCAGCTGCAACATTTCAATTATAAAATTTTCAAAGTTTAGAATAGTTACCCAGTTTCTGTAGAAGCCGCTGCATACGCCGATGAAATGGCTCTGAAATTTTGACGCATTAATAAAAATTTCATAGAAAAATTGTGATTTACCTTGAACGATCCTTCATCCAAAATGGCCATTTGCAACCGGGACTGCAACTTTTGGTAGAGGTCCATCTGAAAATATATCTTCAATTTTCAAATCCAGAATTAATTACTCACCAGTATCAAGTAGTTTTTGAACCAAATCCCTTCTTCCAAAGTGGCAAAAGCCATAAGCCCTTCAGATGCATGCTTGCAATTGGGACATTTGTATTCATCGGTGCGAAGGACACCAAGGCCAGCACTGAAAGAGATTTACTATCAATCGAGTCCTATAAAATTAAGATCTAACCGGAATCCATGGCACGATTTACAACAAGAGACGACGAACTTGCAGGTTGGTGGGTAGAGCTCATCCAAGTCGCTGCCGATGGCTCCTGGAATTTAAAAAGGTCATAAAATTGAAATCTGAAAAAAACACTTACAAATACACTTTTCTGGACCTTTCGAGTCTTTGGTGGACCGATTATTTTCTCCTTAAGGGAGAGAAGAGAATCGGGGATTGGAGATTCGAGAATTGAAGATGGAGAGTTGGTATTCTGAAACTAGAAAAATGAATGTTACAGTAGGATTTTTTCAGTTAAGACTTAGCTTACCTCTTCCTCATACTCATTTTCCTTCACCTGCATCTTTGGTTGCTCTTTTTGTACAGACATTATGAGTTCAAGATTCTTTTCAAATTTATCCAATGAACGATCCGATGTTCTGAACTCACAGGTGTATCTTTTGATCCACTGACTGCTTTGAAATTCAACGATGCTCTCTGAGTTTTGTAGATGAAGACGCTGAAAATAGTTGTAAAGGTTTAAAAAATCAGAAATGTCAGAATAGTCGGAAAAATCAAAGATATAGAAAACTGCAATGATGACAGTTGGTAAAGACAACAAAAAAAATCAAAAATGCATGAAATCAACAAAATCAACAAAGTAACATTTTTATTAACAAATAACAAGATTTTGAACGAAGTTCTAAAATTCATCTTGCTCGGACCAATCGGCATTGTCCTCTACATCAGCGTCACATGCCTCATCATCATCATCCTCCTGCTCATGAATGCGTTGTAGAAGATCTGAGTCAGCTCCCATGGCTCGGAGGAGCATCTGAAAAATAAGAGCATTTCCTAAGTATCAATTTACAGCCACGTAGCTCTGCCTGATACGGCACTGAACCCATATTTCCAACAAAGTTTCAAAAAAAACACTCGAACTCTCATCATTGTAATTCTGCGGATATTCAGCATCAGTTCCATTAACCATTCATTGTCATCTTGCTCCCGAGCTCCAACGTCAGCAGATACTGCTCTGGTGGTCTCCGTGGCCAGACTGATAACGTCCACTGATAACGTCCACTTGGGTTTCAAAGGTCCGGCGATCGGCATTTTTCAATTCTTCGTTGTCCGAATAGCCAGATTCGCTTGGGAGTACAGAATTGACCAGAGAATCGGCGCACAGAGTTTTGTTGTCGGACATCTTAAAATCGGAGATGTCAGGGATTCAGAAGATTAGTAAATTATTAAAGTAAAGGCTTTTGATATTCTAGCCAGCAAACTTATAGGAGGTGTCTTTTATTAAAGGTTCCTCGAGAAATCACCGTAAAATCTATGATAAAATGTCTCCTTATTTTTGAGCTCAATTGTCTCGGTTCCTGTCAAAGATAAAAAAAAGTTGTCAACTGATAAATTGTAACATTGTAAATTATAACATCACCAATATTTCATCAGTCGGCACATTTTTGATATCTTTCATAACAACCCAGATAATTCAGATCAAACTTGACAGTGTGGATGCTTTTCTATTTCAGTTTTTACGGTAAATTAGCGTTAAAAACATTAAAAGTCCAGCGTAGCCATGGTCCGCGCTACGCGATTGCAGATTTTGCTCTAAACAGCTAAACACTTTGCTCTGTCACCTCTTTGAAAAAAACAAAACTCACTTTCAGAAAACTCAAAAATTCTTATCTGTCGCCAAAAATGGAAATTCAACTAAATTGATCGGACGTCTGGTCCCAACTGGATCCCCAGATTTTTCTGGAGTTCATAAAATTGAGATGTTGATTTAATTGGTCACGATTGTAGATTGTTCAGATTTGAAAATTTTTTGATTTTATTCTTCAGTAAAATTTGGTTTTCACTAACTTCTAAACAAAAACCTCACCTCGTTGATTTGCTACTGCTAGCCACCAGAAAACCCAGGAAAAAACTGAAAAAGCGAAACTGAAAAAAAAAGACGACACACATGCAAAACGGTATAAGAACACTGCATGAGAAAACAGTCGAAATTTGAGAAAACAAAAAGAAGTCGGTGAAATTCACATTCATTCATTCAATACTTCACAACGGTCTAACTGGATGGTCTAATATTTTCCTTATTATCCTCATCCACAATCTGCTCTTCGTTCCTGGCGACTTGCTGTCGAATGATGCGGAGCACAATTCGCAGAATATGATCTCTAACTGAAGCTCCGTTGAGGCGGGCCGAGAACTCACGAAGAACATTCATCGCCTGGTAAAGTACAAATTTCAAAAGTGCAGGTGGTGGAGATATTTAAAAACGAATAAAAGACAAAAAGAACGATGATGGAAGACAAGACATATGTATTAGGCTCTCTCTGTTTCTCGTATTCACTTTTCACTTTCCCTTTTCGAGGTATGCAAATAAAAAGAAACGAAATTGAGAGGAAGGAACACAAGAAAATATCACATCACTATTTTGTTTCAATGTGTAGAAAAAGATTTGAAATATATTTTCTCCAAAAAATGGCGGAACTTGGATTGTGATCTTGAGATTTTGGAGCGATGAAAAATTACCACAAAACCTGGAATAGATGGACCTATTTACTTTGAGCTAATTTATCTCGGTTCTTGTCAAATGATGATTAGATGTAGCCTAACGATGGTTTAATCATTTTAAAACTATAAATTAACGAATATATAAGTTTTTGAAAAACGGAATTTTAAAAGTTCATGCTCACTCAAATCAAATGGAAGCCAGGACTTGAAAATAGAGAGAAATTGAAAAATAGGACTTGTAATTATCCTTTGAGGGGTTGAACTTCTGAGCAAAATATCACAGGTACCACATCGCACTGTTTGAGCTAGCTACGACTGAGAAAACTAAATGTAAGCTGAGCTCGAAAAGCACGCATCTGACCTATAATAGTTTGTGGTGGTTTTCTTAATGCTGCATTCACAAAAATTGAAAGTAAAAATCGATGCATACGCAGAAACGAAACGAATGCGGGCGCGCAGGGCAATACACTACGCAAAAATACCGAAAAAAAAATGGGCGGGTCCAAAACTCATCTACGTGCAAAACATCTATGTGGAGATTGGGAAAAAATAGTTTCGATTTATGAGAGTATATCAGGGGGAAAAAAAGTGAAATCAGAATTATGGAGTCACAAAAAATTTAGCTTTAAATTAAGTTCAAATCCTTAATTTTTCGGATTTATCCCTAAATTTTAACCTTTTTTTGGTGCCCACCTTCGAAGAAATTTCAGACTAACCTGCACTTCAATCGTTTCCTGGCTCGAATGGCACTATTGAATTCTCTGTGACGTCTTCTTCTCGATCACCTAACACCTCCGAAACAATCTGATACATTTTGTATTTTTTCAGAAAAAGAACTATCACCGTACCCGCAAAATTTGGCTCCAAGCCACGTTGTACTCTCTAGCTAGGTCTTGATTCGAATTCGAGTTGAGTTCGGCTAACGGACGTCTTTCCCGGTTGTACTGGTCCATAAAACTTTAATGCTACTAAACCTCTAAAAGAAATGGATGAGGAGACAGCCAAAAATGACTAGGCCATAAAAAAGTTCAAATTGCGTAATGGGTAAGAAGGCGAATTTGAAAGTTATGTAATACCAATTTCTTTTTCGGTGTCTCTTTTATTAAGAAAGGGCAAGGGTGGTACGGTAGTTTAGGTGAAAAGAGAAAAGGTTGGGAAAAAAGTAAAGTGAGAAAATTGAGACTCTAAAATGTAGGTATTACCCCCAAGTTGTCAGGCGCGAACTTTTTTTTACCTCTTTTAATCAAAAAGTTTTAATCAAAAAGAGCACATAATCGTGCCAGAAAAAAATGGGACCGCCTTCGAGACACCCGGCTCTCTTTTGTGTCAATTACCGCATAAACTCAAAAGAAGACGTCTGGCGAGAAGAGGAGAGTACACACGCCAAACCCTTTTTGATTGACTCCAGAGATTTTATGATACCCTCTTTTTGATTTACGATGAGCACAGGAGCCCGACAAATTGTTTAGATTATGAAAGTCGGGAAGATGTTAAGAGAAGCGTGTTTATGGGTGTCTATCTGTTGGATAGTAATCTGATATTCTTGGGCCAGATCTTGGGGGCAAGAATAGGGCGCGTAGTGAGAAATCTTCGGGCAAGCCTTGAGCAAGCCTTGTGCAAGCTTTGGGCAAGTTTGGGCAAGCTTTGGACATTCTATACGCTGTGATGCTCGACTTTTTCGGAATTTCTTTCAAAATTTCGTACTTCGCGAATTCCGATTTTTGAAATTTCGGAATTTTGGAATATTCCGATTTTGACGCGTGAGGATTTTTGGAATCTCGGAATTTTCCGAAATTTTAAAAATTCGGAATAATGGAATAATGGAACTTTCCGATTTTGAAATTTTCGGAACTTTCGGTATTGTTTTATTTCATTCCGAAAATTTTTTCGGCATTTCGAATTCCGTTCCGAACATCCCTGGTGATGCTGGTTGAAGTTCGTTTTTGGAAAGCTTTGGTTATAGCTTGGACAGCCTTTGAGCAATCTTTTGGACATTCTGCCCAAGTTTGAAAAGGGCAAATCTATAAGATGCTATCAATTTATCTAGGTAGACAAAAATAGACTAAACGAGACAAAAAATTCTGAACATCTATTCCTTGTTTTCCTTTTCTGCGACTTCTTGATCTTCTCTATCATTTTCCTCCCTCTGCTGCTGCTCTCCCTCATCCAGCTCGAGCTCCAAACTATCCGAGGCAATTGAATCTGTATCCGAACTGTTCGAATTCATAGTATTGTCTACATCATCCCGATTATGGTCCACTTCTCTTCTCAATGGGTCCACAGCATTCAAGAATTCGGCAAGGTCGAGCTTAAATTGTTTTCTACTCTTTTTTGAATATTCAATTTTGGAGGAAGTGGGACAAAAGCTCTAAAAGCTGCGTTCCGAAATTCAAAAAAAAAATCACCAACACCTTTGAGCGCATATTTATCGATGTTAATCATATAAATCTCACCTCGTTGTGAAGAACAGCAATGATAATACGACGTTCCAAGTCCGGAAGCGAATATTCGTTGAGTTCGGAAAATGGACGACGGTTGCTCATTGATCTGGAATTCATAAAGTTTGCAGTTAGGTATAGATCACTGATTGGAACTTTCGCTAGTTATGATGAAAAAGAGGGCCTGTACGAAGGGGCGGAGCCTATTTACCACCACCACTGCACGCGCTCTGAATCACTGAGTCTCCCAGGGTCATTTGTAGATGAATGTATTTTTTCATATAAGTTAACGGAATTTATTACAGTAGTACACAGAGTGAGAAAAATACTGATTCAGATCTAGATACAGGAGAACTCTTCCAACAAAATTTCGCTATACATCCGTTTCTTGGCAAAAAACAAAATCAACATTTCTAGATTCAATTCGGGTGTTCTGATACGACCATCTAAATGAATTAGAAGCATGCGTTGAATTTCAGACACCTTCCGATCTGTGTGGCTACCGTGACCAGTGAGCAGTGGGATTTCTAAAAAAAGAACATGGTTAAAATCTAGATTTCAATTAGACTAACCAAGAGCTGCTGACTTGAGAATTGTATCACTCGCGGTAACTTCCCAGATCAAATCTTTTACGAAAACGATTGCGCCGCTGGTAGTGAACCAGTGAAGATCGAACTTAAGATTGCTCAATGGGATAATTTCCAGGATATCCAATGGGATGTTTCATTGTCGATTAACTAAGAGCTTTATGTTGGTTTCGTGTGGACTAAAATAGTGAAATATAAATGTTTTCATTAGGAAGGAGACTTAAATGCAAAATCTGGATCAACACTCGATAGAGGATATCCCACTTCAAAATTGGTTTTGCAACTTCAAAGTCCTCAAAAGTCAGTTTGAAACTGTGCACAATCCAGTGAAATGAAATCCCATACTCATCACCATCATAGAATGGTATTGGAGATTTTCTAGTGGCATTTGTCGCTCTGGAAAATTTGAACTTCCTTTTGCATTATGGTACAGACAATGCTCTAAAAGAATTCTACCCAAACCGTCAATTTTTAGTCCAATTATCTCGATTCCTGTGAAACCATCGCACAGGATCACTTTTGGCTTGAAGAATTTGATCTAATCCTTGAATTTCATTGGACATATGTGGGACATGAACGTTGGTCACACGGACGTTGGCGATATCAATGAACCATTCCGGAGCATCAGCAAGCTGGAAACCTAACTGAGTATGAAAAAAAGCATAATTGCAAAGTAACGGGCAGCCCGTTATAAGTATGGAAAAAATTGGAAAACGTACCGAACTTTTCAGAAACCTGTAATCTGTTTTCTTCAGGATTATGATCGGTGCCGGGCATACTGAAAGTACCCTGTATTTTTTTCTGTTCTGTTCTAAGACTTTTTTAGTCAGTCATTCAATAAAAAATATATTTATTCTATACACACATCGTTGCACATATTCTGTTGGGAGAACAGACAAAGGGGGACTGTTCCAGGAAAAGAGGAGCTTGAGGGGGACGCTACTCTCATCGGTAGAGAACATAAAAAGATAGGAAAGCTGGGGAGAGGGCGGTAAAGAATTCAGCATATGTTCTACAGGAATGGTACGAAACGGAAGTTACGTGATTTAGAATTTCATGTATGTAAGATGTGCAGGTACAGTAACACTTACGTTTTGAAGGTACCATAACACGTATAATATGCAGGTACAGTAATACGATGAGGATGAAACATTGGGAAGACGGTCGAGCGATAAAGAAGTTTTCAAAAAGAAAAATCGTGGGTTGAAGAAATTGAGAAACTAGGAAGTTATTAAAACTGAGTGGATATTCACTGGGAGCAGGAAATCGAATTTTCCGTTTTCTTATCGAAATGAAGAATCAACGCTCCACGAATTTTCGGATCCTCTCTAATCCTTCCGTGATACTCTTCCAGAAGCTTTCTTCGAATCGCCGGATCATTATTTGGCGAGTGATCTCCGTGACCAGTGAACAATGTGATATCTGAATCACCAAGGCGAAAACTTCACACGACATCAATAAAACTCACCTAAGCTCGCATTCGCTAAAATTGTTTTACTAGATTCAATCGACTCAATGACGTCATCCACGTATTCAAGAGCTCCATCAACTCGGAAAAAATGAAGATCGAATTTTAGCTGAGTCTTCGGAACCTTCTCCAGCTGATCCAGTGAGAAGTTTCTCCGACGGGCAAGGTCATTGATCTTTTCTTGTCTTTCTTGGAAATCATGCCCGCGAAGATTTGTTTGAAATTCCTGAAAAAACTTTTCCTCTTATGAAACACTAGACACTTTGGACCCACATAGTGATGCTGAATCAACAATCGATGCACAATATCCCACCGTAATCTTGCTACTGTAGTCTTCATGTCCCTTTCGAACACATAATACAGGTGCCGTACCCAATGGTATCCCACTCCGTACTGACTACTACGGTTGTAGAATGTCGCACGGATAGCTTCTACGGGTAGCAATGGGGTTATCTGGAATGATTTTTTTTTCTTCAAAATTTATTTGACCCTAATCTAAAAGTCACACTACCTCATTGAAGTCCTCTATCCATTTCTGTGAGTCCTCTTCCTTTCGGAAGAGCTCATTGATCGCTAGCATTTCCATTTCACTGATTTCTGGTAAGCCAACATTCGGGATGAGGGTCCAGGTGAGGATGGTGAACCATTCTGGAGTTTCGATTTTCTTCTGGATTTTTTTCTCTGGTGGTTTTTCCTGTTCGATGAAAGTGATGAGTGTCATATCACAGCTTGTCTGAAAAGTACATTTACCATAAAACCTGTGAAAGAAGGGCCCCTAACGTTTAACTTTTAGCATATTTTCTCGGTTCTTCTCAAAGATAGATAAAAACGAAAAGAAAGCTCAATATAGGAAAACGCCATAAAAGGGGAATTGTATGTTTTCCGAGAAATTCAAACTTGGTGACGTTAGCAGTTGCGTGCTGGTTGATTAAAATAAAAAAGAATTTGAGCAAATCATGCGAGGTATACCTTTTTCGGGAAGCTGAGAATTAGGTGACTCTCGTTTTGGAGATTTTGATGGATCTGCTTCGGGTAGTCTCCCAGCAAGCGATCCTTTATCTCGGGGGAATTTCCGATTATCAGAGTGACTTCGATCAATAATTATTTGGATTCTTCAGTTACAGTACCTTCATCACTATCCATCAATCTTTTCTCCATAGCTCTTGAAATATCCCGAACAAACTCTACGGCTCCACTAACTGTGAAATGGTTAAGGTCAAAGATCAGTTGGGATTGGTGAAGCTTTTCCAGGTTGTTCAATGTGATGTTTCGAAATCTAACCAATCGATTTATTGAATTTTCATATTTTTGCTGCTCGTCAAAATCACCTTCAATTTTTGCAACATCTTGATAGACCTGAAAATTTCCTTGCAATTCAAAAAAATCATTTGCGAACGTGTAGCTCGGCATCCTAATATTCAAAAAAAATTGTATTAAAATACCTACATAAAGTTGCGTGACCACCGATTGAATCAAAATGTGCTTCTGAAGCCAAGCCTGCGTTTCAAAGGGGTCTTCGCCAAGATAGTAGAATATGTATTCAATCCAAGAGCTGCTCAACTCGGGACAAGTGAATCGAAGTTGAAGCTCTTTCAATGATTCCGGAATGACAAGCATTTTGGATTCTTTCCCATTTAGTTGAAATTCTAAAAATCTGTTCTACCTCGGCTATTACTGTCGTCTGTTGGGCGTAAAAATTTTTTAGGCGCACCCAAGGAGAAATTCTCTCAGCTTTTTAGCGCTGTTTGGGCACCTTCTGGGAAAATTTTAAGCAAAGTCTGGCACACCAGCGCCCAAGAGACGACAGTCGCAACCGAGACACTCTTCTGTTTTTCTCTATTCTCTCTCCAGACTTCCAAAGACTTCCAAGACTTCCAAGGTACCGACCTTCTGTGTTGCGCCAGACCGCCTCTCTAGACGATGGGGGCCTGCCACCCCAAGTGCCGACCATCTGTGTTGCACCAGAAGGACAAGAGGGGTATTTTTAAAGAATACCGAAAAGGGATTTTTTTTCTAAATAGGTGTTACGCGTCTGTGAATACTCAATATTACATAAAGACAAAAAAAACTCAATATTACATAATGAGAAAGTTTAAGGGTTTGGGACAACGAAAGTTACAAGTCATCCCGAAAAACAATGAGAAAGGACTAAGCAAATTTTTACGAAGATGTAAAAAAAAAGAAATTGGGAGCAAGAGAATCTCAGGATAATTAAGTGAGAGGCGCAGGGTTTTGACTTGATCACGTCTCGACAAATTTGTAACTGACACGCACCTTCTCATTGGAGTGCAACCGCGTACCACATCCGTTCTAAAATTTCCAGCCTTAACGAACATTGAAAACAAAAAAGGCAGTTAAAAAACTTACAACAGTTTCTATAAAGGTATTGCGATTACCAGTTTTGAAAATGACCAAAATGATCTGGTTGTTATGGTCTTCATTGTTGGTCCCTTCCAAATTTATAGTGCGTCGACTTCGAATACTTCCCCGCCTCCCAATTCACTTATGACTCAGATCATGAGGTCTCCATTCCCTGATGACCTTGATGATCATGTGCTCATTACTCAGAAAATGAATGTGTGGTACCATACCGTGTCCCTGGTCACTTCATGATTCATCCGGGGAGAAGATGGACAGTCTTCTAATAGTGAGCAAACAATTGTTTTATTATGTGACAGAACAAAATCAGAGATTCATATGTACATGGAAAATTTGTATGGCAGTAGAGATAGGAATATGGGAATTGGAAAGGGATAGGAATAGAGTTGGACCGGTGGATTTTAGTAAAGCTTATTAAAAAATTAATCGAAGTAAACAAAAAATTATTAGAGAGGTGTTACCGGCAGGATTAGAATCATGTCGCGGATTACTTCTGTACATCTGACTTGCCAGTGAAAATCAGACGACCGCCGTTGTTCGGATCTACTCGAATTTTCTGTGGAAACTTCTGGAGCAAGTTGATCTTTATCGGTGGATCCTTGTCACATCTGGTGTTCGCGTGACCAGTGATCAGAACGACTTCTGAAAAGTTAAGATACGAATTTCGTGCGAAAAAACGTGCTTCACCTCTGGAATCCGACATTTTCATCATTTCCGCGGCGATCTTGTTCACATATCGAACAGCACCTCCAATGAGGAATCCATGCAGATCGACGACCAGAAGATGAGGTGGCAAAGTGAAAAATATATTCAAAGGAACATTTTTTCTTTCCACTAGCTCATTGATTTGATTCTCCAGTGCCTTTTTCTCCTCGACATCTAACACTTCAGTTTTTCTTCGCTTCTAGTAAAATTAACTTTCTTTTTGAAAACTTGAGCGATTAAAAAAACTAACATGAAGTTTCTCGATCTCCTTAAACATCTCCACATCATTTTCAATGCACAAATTCGTTCTGGCGACATTTTTTTGATTCATGAGGTATTTTTGTTGGAGCCAGGTCTCACTTATTACAGAATTCGGGACACGAACAAAACGACTTTTGAGGGCAAGAAATCCTCGCGATTGGAATTCAGAATCCGGCATTCTGGAAAAAGGATTTTTTATTTAGGGGTTTTGCGATTTTCAAAAAAAAAAGTTCAAAGAAAAGGTAATATATAAACTCTTATAATTGTTTTTGTTTTGAAAAAATAAAAATCATAGTCGACATGTGTTTGAACCGCCACCTATGGCATTGCGCCTTGGGAGTGAGACGCTGATAAGTGATTGCGCCAACAGCCCTTTTGTCGAAGAGGAGCAGAGGGTAATGTATACATAGAATTGCTTAGGGAACCAAACCAACCCAAAAGAATTATAACAAAGTTCGTGTTATCAAAAAAGTTTACTCGTAAAAAAAAATAACATATAAAGCACAATACATAAATAAATTACATTAAAATCTGTAATGGAAGGGTTGCACTCTGCCATGTTTGAGAATTTTTTTTTCTAGCGAGATATCGAAAACATGTCAATTTTGAAAACATGTCAATTTTCGAAAACATGTCAAAAAAGTTTCTGATATTATGATAAACTTTTCATCAGTTAACAACCTTGTCGTATCTTCGACAGGAATCGAGAAGAATTAGCTCAAAATTAATAGTCAGAGAGCCCTTCTATTACAGGTTTTACGGTATGAGCGTTTTAGTGAACAAGAAAATTATTACGAGCATAGATTTCTGTGAGTTAGACAACGTTAGGGATCATTGATAAAACACAGGAAAATGAACCAAAATAATGAAAAGGGAACATTATATTTATACAATAAACTCAAGAAAAACTTAAGGAACCAAAACAATGTCAACTCAAAAAAATTGCGAGCTACCAGAATTCAACATTAATCATACCTTTATTGCAAGGCTCTGCCACACGACAATTGGTCATGTTGAATCGGATTTCTTCTGCCACACGACAATTGGTCATGTTGAATCGGATTTCCCCCATTATGGCATTTTTTGTGTTGGAGATGCCATTTATGGAGTTGTTCCCAGCCCCAGTAACCAGGGAGACCGCTGAAAATAGGAAAAATTTTCAGATTTCAAAAATTAAGGTGCTCACATCGCTCTCCCTTTTTTCGAGCCTCCTCGATAATCTCTTTGGCATATCTTACCGCCACATTTACAGTAAGATAATGGAGATCAAATTTATTGTGCTGGTTTCTCCTCTGGTTGAATGCTCGAGCCTCATTGAGCAATTCCTCCTCCAACTTGGCAAATGTTGCCTTGTCGATAGAAATGTTGCCTTGTCGATTTTAGTTTCTATTTTCTAAATTTTCCGACGACATTCGTAGTTGTATTAATGTGAATCGGATAAAACTGACCAAAATCATTATAAAATCGTAAAAATAAAAAAAAATAAAATTCAAAATAGACTCAAAAGATACGGTAGTTCGCTCTTCAAAAAATTTTAACAGGATGTTCACTCTCAGCAAGCATTGATTTCGGACAGCCAATCAGTTTTTCGAAAAAATTTTCTATTTCACAAAAAAATAATTTTAAAAACACAAGAATCTGTGCATAGACACTAACCAAACATATGCTTTCGCCAGCGACACACTGCACAAGAACCCCAAAAGGGCAGTATTGATAGCCAGCGACACACTACTTTTGCGGTCGAAACACCGCGAAAACCCCAAAAACAAGGGCGGTATTGATATTAATTTTGACTCATCTATGAGCATCACAATATTAGGTTGGCGGGAAAGTCTTTGTCACTCTGTTTGTTTAATCACTGTTCTCGTATATGGAGGCTGTGTATGATATCGACTCTAGTGAATAACAAGGTGATAAGAACCTTCCATATAAACAAGTCCCCATTTCCTTCCCTGCTCCTCATCTGTAATTGAAACGATATGTTTGTTCCCACTGCTATTCACATCAGACATGTTTTGATTTACCTCTTCCTATCTCACACCACGATGAAGGATTCGTTAACTTTCTTGAAGAATGTGTACAACACACATGCCCCTCACTACAATACTATTCGCAATTGGTTCCATCGTTTCGAAAAAGATGACTTCTCGCTCGATGAAAAGGATCGCTCTGGGAGACCCCGTGAGTTGGATTTGGACAAGCTGAAGCACGCATTGCAATCGGATCCATTTCAATCTAGCCGTGAACTAGCTGTCACATTCGGAGTTCACCATAGCACAGTCCTTGAAGGTTTGAAGTCTCTTGGAATGAGAAAACTTTTTGGTCGATTCATACCTCATCACCTGACTCAAGCCAACCTTGACCGCCGAGTCGACGATTCGATTACTCTTCTCACTCTCCACGCGGGCGATCGATGGCTGGACCGGCTAATAACCGGAGATGAGAAGTGGGTCTTCTACGATAATCACCACAGGAAATCCCAGTGGGTTGGAGAAGGAGAGAGCCCACAGGATGTCCCCAAACCCGACCTTCAGCCGAAAAAAGTTATGCTCTCTGTGTGGTGGGGAGTGGACGGCCCCATCTACTGGGAACTTCTGCCCGAGGGCAAAACAATAACTGGAGACCTCTACACTACTCAACTACGAAACCTCAAGAAAGCAGTCGACCGTTCGGCCCTGAAAGACAAGAAAGTGTACTATCAACATGATAACGCTCGCCCACATGTTTCGAAACAAGTGAAGCAGGAGCTGATGGGATATGGATGGAATGTTCTCCCTCACCCCCCGTATTCTGCTGATCTTGCTCCTTCCGACTATTGGTTATTTGGCGATATGACACGTGCCTTCGAAGGAAGAAGCTTCAATTCCCGTGGAGCGGTCGAAGCGGCACTCAAACAATACTTTGCCTCACGCCCGGCTGGATTCTACCGCAATGGAATCCATAAATTGAGGGAACGTTGGAGACATGTTGTTGATAATGATGGACAATATAATTAATTATTCGGTTATTTTTTCTTTGAGAAATAAACTATTGAAAAAGTGACAAAGACTTTCCCGCCAACCTAATAAATTATCAAATGAAAAATATATAAATTCAGTTTGAAAAAAAGGATTTCGTAACGCATATCAAAACAGTCATAAGATATTTTAGAGAAAGCAAAAAAATTCCGATCAGCCTTCTGGTATTGAGTCATCACATTTTTTCCTTGAATTTAGTTCGAATCCTTCATTGTTTGTGATTTAAGGGGTTGTTTTGGATTTCTTTTTTCATATTTTTGAACAAATGATTAAAATTGTTTCCACAATGACTTATTCAAAAATATTAGATCATAAAGAACGGTAAAGTAGAAAAATCGGACTTCAATTGCTTCAGAACGAGGCCAGAACCGCTTCAAAGTGTTCGACTGGACTTTGAGTACATAATACTGGCTACCGGTGTCTTATCTCCAATGAGCAGCTTGAGTTGTTCTGAAAAATCATCTTTAACTTCTGTATTTGCTCTAATAGAAGCCCACACTATACTTAAGCTCAATTATCTCTATCTCTGTAGGAGATAACAAAAATCCGTCCACTGATAAAATGCAGGCGCCGTTATGAAAAGTAATTCATCAGTTAAAATTTGTTTGATATCTTTTCGAGGAACCGAGATAATTGAGCTCAAACTGAGTGACATTCTATTAGAGTGTTTACGGTATTCTAAACTTACTTCTGATAACGTTTTTGTATTCTGACACAATTATCATAAAGGCGATACTATCAAACGGTGGATACAGCCCTATCAATGTAAACATCCATCCGGTTTGCCAGCTGACTTTGACATCCAGGAGAGGTGATAACACTGGAGTCAATAGAACTGGAGCAGCTGGTAGAACTAGAAAAATCGTTGGCCCCATGCTCTGAACAATAAGTGCTTTGAAGAATTGCCGCTGGAGTCTTCGTTGAGGAGCTGAGAACTTTCTAAGTTCCTTTCTCATATTGAAATGCATTTGTAGTCCACAATACAGTATGATGAGGTAATGAAAACCAATAAGAAATAAGTCCACAGAAATGTTAATCACACTTTCCATCCTTAGAGTTCCAGATGCGTCAAATGGAACCATAAAAAAGCGGGGAATTTCGGAAATTGCAATTCCATAGGTCTCGAAGAGTTCCCATCTGGAAGTTTCGATATTAGAGATTTAGAGGTTTTCCTGTGCTCCCAGTATTGTTACTCACCTGACGTAGCTGTCTGTGTATTCATCTGGCTGACAGAAAATATGAAAAGCGATACTATAAATCGCGCCAGGAATCAATGGGTATACCATCCAAACTACAGTTCCAAATCCATCAAAATATTCCAAACTGTTCACATGAAACAAGCTCAGGTATCGATAAACGAATTGAAATGAAATGAATGCAATGGTTAGAGAATAGAAGCCAGACCAAATTGAAATCAATATCTGCAGGTTTTCCTGGGATAAATCCAACTTGCTTGTGCTGAAAAACACAATAGCTCCATTGTAATTATGAGCAAACGGGCGGGAAATGACTTCGAGCCCCGAAAACAGCATTCCAGAGACTGCGAAATACACAATAATCCGCTTGTATGTGGTGACCATATTTTCGATGTGTGCCATTGTCAGGTAGATCAAGAACAGTCCAGCGAGGAAGGTGATGAGGAATCCAATTTTTGATAGACAGCTAGCAATGTCAAAAGGTATCATTTCGGCGGAGAATAAATGAATGAATTAATTAATGATGGGCGAAGAACAATAATATAGATGTAGACACTGTCAGCAAAGGAAATTGTCCGGAAATACGTGAGAATACTATCACAAGATGGTGTTTTTATGTCATATCTGTCTGGCTATGACTCGAGACAGTCCCGGAAAAAACAATGATAGTCACAAGTTTCGGAATTTCAGCAGACCTCGATTTTAGATGTCTCTCGGAATGTTGAATTTGTGACCGAAATATTAGAGATGCCGGCTTCACGTCTACAGCTGAGCTATGCAAATACCGGCTGAGCTACAAGGCTTCAGACTGAGCTACGCGCTTACTAGTTGAGCTACGCGGCTACTGGCTGAGCTACACGGCTACAGGTTGAGCTACATGGCTATCGACTGAGCTACGAGCTACCGGCTGAACTACACCACTACTGACTGAGCCACTCGTCTAAGTGGCTCAGCTACCGCTGAGCTAGGCATTTACCAGCTGGCCTGCACGGCTACGGACTGAGCTACTCTGCTACATGCTAAGCTAAGCATCTCAGCGCTGATCTACGCGGCTACCGACTGAGCTGTGGGATGAGCTAGGCATCTACCCATTGGGCTACGAGGCTACCGACTGAGCTATTCGGTTATCAGCTGAGCTACGCGGCCACCGGCTCGACCGCAAGCTCGACTAAAGGGGCATATGAAAGGGACCATTTTTGAACTCCCAGAAAAACTCCGACAATCTTTTCCTTCTCCCATTTTTGAATAAAACATTTTTGCAATCTTTTTGAAAATTCAAGCTGTTTAAATGTTAAGCCCATTTCCAGAAAGGTTGCCTGCTGTATTCACCAAATTAATGAATCAATCAAACGACGTTATTACCATAAACACTAAAAAAGAGTGCCACACAAACTCTAAACTTTGAATCCATGTATCTCATTTCCTGTGAAAGATATCAAATATTAGTCAACTGATAAAATGTTAAGCATAATATCAAAAATATTTTGTCAGTTGACAACTTTTTTGTATATTTGAAAAGAACCGAGATATATGTATGACCTTACTATTAGAGGTAAACGTTTGGGTGGCACTCTATCCGAGTGTTTACGGTATTTCGGAGAATACTAAAGTAGGTCATAAACGGAAACTGAAAAATGTTATCGATTGTAGTTTGTGATCTACAGTAAGTCATAAACGGAAATCGAAAAATATGGCACACTGTAGCTTCTGGTGATCGCTGAGCAATAAGTGATCAAAGAGACTTCCCGTTCGATCTCCATATCTCCTAGATCCTCGTTCAAAGTCTAGACAAAAAACTTCCTTGTGACTCAAACCAAAAAGTTCAAAACCTCTCATATCATTTCATTTTACTAATGAAATTATCATTATTTTTTGACATGACATGCCAATTGAAGTATATCAGACATGCATCACTGATAATCTCATGATCACAACCTTTTTCTTCATTCTCACACTTTTTGGTTTCCTGTTTTCTTGAAGGCGTCTTTTATTTTCGGAAATATAGTTTTTAGAGATTACAAGAATTATATTGTCTATTTATAACAGTGTAGCCGTGGGCGGCTGTAACTAGATACTGTTATTATGGACCTTGCTATCCAACCTTTATCCTTCGCTCTGACCTTCTTTATCAACTCTTCCTTGATCTACCTAATCGTTACTAAATCCCCAAAAATCATGGGAACTTATAGACACTTGATGATTTATTTCTGCTGCTTTTCTATATTTTTCAGCATCATTGATGTTATAGTTCAACCGGTAATCCGATTTCCAGAATTTTCCAGAATACATTTTATACAGACGATGTTCACCTATGGAAGCGGATATTTTATGATAATTGATGTTAAGAAGAGGGGCATTCCACCAGAAGTGGCTGTATTCTTTATGAGTAAATATGAAAATTTTTGAAGTTTTTAAATCAAAAATTGGATTTCAGAAGTTCTTTGTGGTTGCTTTGGAGTCACAATTTATGGGATTGCGATTCATTTTGTTTACAGATTTTTTGCACTAGAGAGGTAAATATTTGAACTTTAAAAATAGTTTTGATAAGAAAGCTCATACACTTTTTCTCCGAAGTTTTTTAGGTCTAGTTTTTTTATTTTAAGGTCGTGACCTAATCTTTCGTTTTTAGGTTTTTTTTGAATTTCTAGGCCATAACCCTTTTCAAACTCTTAATGTCATGTTTTTCAAACTTAATGACCTATTTTTTCGTTTTTAGGTCATGACCTATTCTTCAGGTTTCTAGATCATGACCTCGATTGTTGGATTTCAAGGTCATGACCTAAATTTTCGTTTTTAGGTCATGACCTGATTTTTCATTTTTAGGTCATGACCTCATTTTCCCGATTTTTAGGCCATGACCTAATTTTTCGTTTTTAGGTCATGACTTAATTTTTCATTTTAGGTCATAGCCTTATTTTTCATTTTTAGGTCATGACTTAATTTTTCATTTTTAGGTCATGATTTTTTAGATTTCTAGGTCATGACCTAATATTTTAGGATTTTTAGGTAATAAGGTATTATTTTTGTTTTGTGGTCACGACGTAATTTTGAGGTTCTTAAGGCCATTACCTTGTTTTTCATTTGTAGGTCATAACCTAATTTTCCCTATTTTCAGTAGATGATTTTTTTTTAATTTCTAGCTCATAACCTAGATTTTAAATTTCTAGGCCGTTATTCGTTTTCTGAAAAATAGGAAACTTTGTTGCATTTTTAAAAATGTCAGTTACAAAACTCAAGGTATTATTTTGTTCAGTATATCCGGAAATTATCAGAAAAATTGGAAATATCTGAATTACCCTTATATAATCCTAAAAAAGAACATTTTTCTTTGAAAACTCTACATTTACAGAAAAGGAAAACTGAAATATTTCGAGATCAATTATCTAGCTCTTTGGTTTGTGATCCCAGTGGTTGGCGGTTTTTCGTGGTATATAACCATCGAGATATTTTTCGAATCTGGTTCTGGTTCTCTGGAGACTGAGTATTTAAGGTACGACAATTTCCAGGAGGACCTGGCTTACTTCAGCTAATTTTTCAGAAACATGTTCAATAAATCGAACTTGAATTTCGCGGATTTTGCAAGCATTGGTGGGGTATACTATTCAACTAATAACAGTGTGAACTGGAGAAGTATTTCTGGATATTCCTGTTTTGTTAGCATAATGGTGATTGCTTTTATAATCATTGTGGTTGCTGGTTGGAAAAGTTGGAAAATTGTCTCGAAACTTCTGGAACATGGAGAATCGGATTTTTCGAGAAAACTACAAATGCAATTGTACAAAGCTCTAGTGGCGCAGGTAAGAAGCTTTTGTATAGAAACCTCAAAAAATAATTTTTCAGACCATCATCCCAATAACACTTCTCTTCATCCCCTTTGGAGTCTTATTCACCATCCCGTTGTTCAATATTGATTGGCAAATTTTGAATCGTATCATCGTTTGGATTTTTGCATTTTATCCTGTCATTGATCCATTACCAATTATTTACTTTGTTGATTATTACAGGATTCCTGTCATCGGTTTGTTAAATTTTTTCAGAGAAAAGAGTTTAACGAAAGCTTACAGACGCGTTCAAGTGCAAAATCAACCAGATTGGTGCAGGGAGAAGTTATTCGGAGAGCACTGTTCAAAATTAGAAAAGATACAATACACTTCAATTTTTAATAAAAAAAAATTCTAAAATTTATTCATTTTTTGAAGCTTAAAGTTTTTTGTTGACGACTTTTCAACCGGACGTTTTATAACCAATACTTCTTTCAAACGAAGTTGAAATGATTATTAGAAGACAAGTTGAGCTGAAATTAAACAATTTCCTAGAGTCATGTTCACGAGATTTGTTATGCGTACATCATCTGAAAAATTTTTATAAGCTAGACAATATTTTTCATTATCCGCTGTTCCTACGCCTACACAATTCAGTTTTGATAATAGAAAATCACAACTTTTTTGTGCCACCTTCATCTCCCTTAACCATGTCCCCATTCGAAACCACAGGAACTCTCACCAAGCTAGGATTTTCTGCCAGTTTTCTTACAAACTTCTTTCTGAACTACATCACTATCTTTCACATTAAACATATTAGCGGTACCTATAAGCACATGGTCTTATATTTTTCGACAATTGGAATACTTTTCTCCGGTTTGGAAGTCGTGACAAGACCATTTGCTCATAATTATAACAATGCACTATTCTTCTTTAGCACCAGCACTTTGAGCATTTCTTCGAGTATTTTACAACTGTTGATTACGTCCTGGGCTGGTTGTTACTTGATAATTGTTTCATTTATTGCTGTTCAGTTTGTATATCGCTACCTTTCCCTATCCGGAAACAAAATGGCAGATCGGTTTGATGGCTTGAGAACAGTCCTTTGGTTACTGTATCCCATTTTGATAGGTGCAATTTATACCTTACTGATATGTCTTTTATCTCAGCCGGATAATTATACGGACGATTATATAAAGTGAGGGAATTCATCCAACTAACCGTATTCGAAAAAAAAGTTACTTCAGAGCCGAGGTTTATAAAAACTACGGTGTCCCACCTACAAGCTTCCCTCGATTCGTAATTGTTCCATACGAGTCTGATGGTTCTCTAAGTATCAAAAACTGGGTAGTGTTAGCTTACAGCGTCTCCATGATAAGTTTACACTATTCTGTCATTTTGTATTGCGGCTTAAAAATGCATTTGAATATGAAGGATCAGCTAGAAAAGTTTTCGATTTCTCAGAGAAACCTCCAGCGGCAAATGTTCAAAGCATTGGTTGTTCAAAGTCTAGGACCCACTATTTTCTTGGTTATACCAGCGGGCCCTGTATTGCTGAGTCCACTTATTCCGCCTAGTTTTGGAATGAAGATCAGCTGGCAAACTGGATGGTTATTTCCTCTAATTGGCTTGTATCCCCCGTTTGATAGTATTGCGTTTATGTTGATTGTTTCCGAATACAGAAAAGTTATAAAAAGTGAGTTCAGAGTGTCTTATTAGTTTTGTTATCATATTTTTTCAGAACTTTTCAATAGTCTACTTCCGACCACAACAATAGTTTCTCCTATATAAGACCATTTGTCAGTGTCTGAAAATATCATCTGACTGATAACGAAACATCTTGTATAAATCGATCCTAATGAGATGCGTCGCGTGAGAGAGCGTTGAAATTTTTGAAAATTCGTAGCTTGGTACCTCCGTCAGCTTCATTGAGACCAAGGGATAATTAGTAAATTCATACATTTGTTTTTGTGTACGAATTGTTACTCTCAAGTGTTCAATGAATAAATTTTTATCTTTTTTGTGTGTCTAGACAATCTCCGTTTGAGAGCTTTCAACACTAGTCATTCTTCTTCAAACAGTTTTTTAGTCATTCCAGCTATGAGCATTGCTATTCAACTAATTTCCTGTGCCTTATCAATTTTTATCAACTCATTTTAAATTTATTTGATGATCACAAAATCCCCAAAAATCATGGGAACTTATAGACACTTGATGATATATTTTTGCTGCTTTTCTATATTTTTCAGCATCATGGATGTTATAGTTCAGCCGGTAATCCCATTTCCAGAATTTTCCAGAATACATTTTATACAGACGGTGTTCACCTATCGAAGCGGATATTTTATGATAATTGATGTTAAGAAGAGGGGCATTCCACCAGAAGTGGCTGTATTCTTTATGAGTAAATATGAAAATTTTTGAAGTTTTTAAATCAAAAATTGGATTTCAGAAGTACTTTGTATACGAAATATAAAATTGATGTAAATGTAATTTCAGATGATTATTTCTCATGAACGCGCGCTTTTCATAATGACAGTAGTCAAGACACGAAGTCACAATCGCAGTTGCTGGGATTTTCATGCGTTGGTTTTTGAAAAAAAGTTCAGGAAAAGGAAAATAGGAATTTCGGATATCCTTTGTGCTTGTTTTGGAGTCACAATTTACGGAATAGCAATTCATTTTGTGTACAGGTTTTTTGCTTTAGAAAGGTTATTCATTCATAGTCATCAGTTTTAATTAAGCATTCCAAAAAAGGAAAACTGAAATATTTCAAAAAGAAGTATCTCGTTCTCTGGTTTCTCATTCCAATCGTTGGTGGTGTTTCATGGTTTGTTGTGGCACGATATTTCTTCACGCCTACACAAACCGACTTGGAGTATATCAGGTAGTTTTGGAACTTTTTTGTGTTAATTACCGTAGAACCGATGTTACAAAGGTACCTTAAATAGAAGGGTTCCTCTAATAGAAAGGCTCTTAGAAAGGTGTTCGGAAAAATAGAAGGGTTGACACTAGGGTTCCGAATTTGAAGAAGAGCGATGAGCTTTGACGTGAAAATGAGCTTTTCAAATAGCTCGTTAAAGCTCATTTGATTTTGAATGAGCTTTTTGAAAAAAGTAAAAAAGCTCACGTGACTCTTTTTTAGTTTTATCGAAAAGCTCATCAAGGCTCATGAGCCTTTCTGTGATTTTTATTAAGAAGCTCATATGGCTCATCATAAATAAATAAAGAAAAGAAATCACAGAAAAATCATGAGTGGCCATGGAGTACTCTAAATATCAAGCCACAAGGTGGCCTACTATTGCATGTTGAGTTCCCTAGGGCACCTACTTCTATGACCTAAAAATGTTATAACAGTCACCTGATACGTTTTCTAGGTCATTTTAACGAGGTGGCCTAGAAAACTCAACTTTCAAAAGTTAGGCCACCATGTGAAAATATCTTAGAAAACATAACAGGTGAATGCTACACGATTTCTTCGATATAAAAATGGTTGCCTAAAGAACTCAACAAGAAACAGATAGGCCACTGTGTGATTTCTGGGTTATTTTCATATGATGACCTAATTTTCGCAAGATAAGTTTTCTAGGCCACCATTGTTTTTTTAGGCCACTATCGTTTCTGCCCATCAGGGCACTTGATTATTTGAATATTTGGCTGAAGTGTTGGTTGTTATTATTATTTTTTGCCACGTGAGCAATTTTCTATTTGATTTTTTGAACTATGCTTTCGTGAGCCTTTTTTTTTTTGAAAAAGAGTCGACGTGAGCTTTTTTGCAAATGAGCCTTGATGAGCTTTTTTCAAAATCAATAATTACGTCAAATGAGCCTCGATGAGCTTTTTTCAAAATCAATATTTTCGTCAAATGAGCCTATATGAGCTTTGACGTAGAGTTAAAAAATAGGAATGAGCCTGCTTCATGGTGAGCTCACGTGAGCTTAAGCTCATGACTGAGCTTTTTTCGGAACCCTAGTTGACACTTCTAATACAGGTTTTACGGTACATACAATGTGAATTTAAAGATCAACAGTCAAAGAACTTCACAACCTGGAAATCGAGGATACCGTGCAAGCTGGTGGTGTTTACTACCCAATTGAATGGGAAGAGGAAATCATCAATTGGAGATGTTTTTGGGGTTTTCTCTGCTTCTTTGGCATTATGATAGTTGCTTTTACTATCATTGTTGTGGCTGGCTGAAAGAGTTGGAAAATTGTGTCAAAGCTTTTGGAATACGGAGAATCTGAGTTTTCAAAAAATGTACAAATGCAATTGTACAAGGCGTTGGTGGCTCAGATAGGAAGTTTCAAAAGGAGGGGAGGAAACACATTTTTCGCCATTTTCTTGGAGTTAATTAGAAAACATCCGAAAAAAATTTCAGACAACTGTCCCCATTATTCTATTGTTCATCCCATTTGGAATCTTATTCACCCTCCCAATTTTCAAACTTGGTTGCCAGTTTTTGAACCGAATCATTGTTTTGATTTTTGCATTTTATCCGGCTATTGATCCATTACCAATTATTTATTTTGTCGATTATTACATGGTTTCTGTGTTGGGTAAAACATTAAAAACAATTTTGATTACTTTCAGGAGTTTTCAAATGCAAAATGAATCAAAGTCATGCAACAGTGAGTATCTCTATCGATAATTAAGTTCTTGGAAGATCCTCCAAATTGACGACAGCTGACTTGGATTTTCTTGCAAATAGGAATTTAAACTTTTCTGAAAATTTTAATAAATTTTCTACATTTATTATTTTTAAAACTCACTCTTTATTATTTTCCTGTAATCTGTTACAATAATCATAAAAGATATACTGTCAAATGGTGGGTACAACCAAATTGTCGAAAATAGCCACCCAGACGGATAATCGAAATTAATCATTTGTGAAAACATGAGTGTTAACAGAACGGGTCCAGCCGGGATTATCAAAAAAACTGTTGGTCCAACGCATTGAACAACCAAAGCTTTGAAATATTGCCGTTGAAGTCTTCGCTGGGGTGCCGAGAACTTCTTCATTTCGCTCTTTATATATTTTTTTGAATCTTGAGACCACAAATCAGGATAATTATATAATGAGAACTGATTAAGGTGGCTGCTAGGGAGAGCACAAATAAATTACTCCAATCTAGATGGCCATTAGAATGATAAAGTTGGAGAGTGAATCTTGGAACTAGAGAAATGTTGAGTTCATAGTTGGTAGAGAATATGGGTCTAAATACATTATCTGATTGCTCATCAGGCCGGCAGAATAACCATAAAAATGGGACATAAACCATTCCAGGAATTATTGGGTACAACATCCACGCAATTGTTCCTCTTCCCTCGAACATTAGGTGTCTATTTACTGTACAAAAATAAAGATATCTATAGAAGAATTGCATTGCTAAGAAACCAATAATCACCAAGTAGGATAAAATCCAAATCCAAATCATAGCTAAAAACAAAAAACATGAATTCCGGGGAAAACGGAATTTCACTTGCACTAAAGAACAATAAGTACATTCTGTAGTTGTGAGCAAAAGGTTTTGTGATAGCGTCAATGCCAGAGAACAAGATTCCAAGTACCGCGAAGTAGACAATCATTCTTTTGAAAGTACCAACGATTCGTTTAATATGAAATACAGTCCAATAGATGAGGAAGGAGTTTGCCATGACACTGATTAGAAATTCAAATTCAGAGAGGTAGCCGGCAATTTGGAGAGGTTTCATGGTCAGTGAAATGATATTTTCAAACACTGTGGCAAACAGAGTCTTGTGATAAAGAAAGAGAACCGACGGAAATACTATCAGCTAGCAGTTGAGGGTACCATTTCCGGACTAAAGTTATACGCAGAATTGGGGGAAATACTTGTTGTGGTCGGCAGAAGATCCTCGGCTCTGAAGTAACACTTTTCTAATTCGATTACTCGGGTTTCCCTACTTTATATAACTGTCCGTATAATCAACAGGCTGAGATGACATACAAATAAGGAAAGTAGCTCCAAACCCATCAAAACAATCTGCTTTTTTGTTGCCAGATAGGAAAAGGTAGCGATATACAAACTGAACAGCAATGAATGAAACAATGATCAAGTAACAACCAGCCCAGGACGCAATCAACAGTTGTAAGATACTTGGAGAAATTCTTAAAGTGCCGGGACTGAAGAAGAATACTGAATTATTGTAATTATGAGCAAATGGTCTTGCTACGACTTCCAAACCAGAGAAAACTATTCTAATTGTTGAAAAGTTTAAGATCATGAGTTTATAGGTACCATTAATATGTTTAATGTGAAAAATAGTAATGTAGTTCAGGAAGCAGTTTGTAAGAAAACTTGCTATGAATCCTAAATTGGTGAGAGTTCCTGTGGTTTCGAATGTGGACATCGTTATTGGAGACAAATTCGGACACAAAAATTGTAATTTTCTGTTATGAAGGAAGTGGGCAAAAAGTTGTTTAGATGTAGGAGCAGCGGAAATTTAAAATATTATGTAGCTTCCATTTATAAAAATAGTTTTCATGGTGTGGCCTTTTATATTGTACGATACACTTTTTTGATGAGACTAATTTTTTGAATTCATTTCTTAAAAGATTTATTCATTTAAATTAATAATTACATTTCAAAAATCTTTCACAGCCTAGACAAAGGTTTCGACATTTTCCTCGTAAACACAACTTTTTCATCTCTTCCAAACTTTGGAATCATCCGCCAAACTGCATTTCGATATGAACTATGCACTAATATGACCACTAAACTCTCTCCAAACCCATGTAGTCCAGATATGATAACTGCCAAATTCATCCATTCCTGATCCAAATTATCCAGAAGAAACGCCATGATCGAATATGAAATTGGAGCCACCAGGAGAACAACAGGGATACCGGTTTGAAAAATTAGGCCGATAAAAAACTGCCGTTGAATTTGACGAGTATGTGCTGATGTTGATTTCGAAGGAGCAATGAAAATGTAGTATACTGTACATGTGGCATGGAATAAGACATGAGATAGGGAGTGGAATAGTAATAATGGGATGAGGACCCAAGTGAAAAAATGGATTGTTGTGGCATCAGATGTGATAAGAAGAACGTCAGCGAAGAAGTATTCCGAGGTGGGGCATGGGTCCAACTTGAGAACTTCCAGCTTAGCTTCCTCTTGATTTACGGGGACATTTAAAAACAAAAGATATAGAGGTAGATCAGAAATAAATATTAGAAGATGATATAGAATTCGATTTTGAGTTTGAGTGAATTTGAATCGGTTTTCCAGGACTGAGTTACTCCGACTCTCGAATAAATAGATGTAAGACCCAGAGGCACCTAAAACGTATACTTTGACATTTTCAAAATAATGGGTAAACTCACAAAAAGCAATAAAAATCGCCACATACAATTGATACAAATACGGAATCCCCAACCAACTAAAAACTCCAACCCCCAAAAATGCCAGAAAACGCAGAAATACGTATGGGGTGGATAGCATGCAGATAATAAAATCTAGGAGCGTGCACCTGCAATTTCAGATAAGACTGAGCAATTGCGCTTCATTGAACTAACCAAAAATGATTCATTACTATCGACCATTTGACACCCTTCATATGAACCGGGGTATGACTCAAAATCACATAAAAAGTGAGAACTTGAAAGGGGAGAGATATGGCTTGAATTATATGGCTCGCATAGGCTAAACCTTGCCACGTGGCAAGAAAATGATAATCTAGAACACATCTTGAATAGTTTGTTGCATGATATTCTGATAGTGTTTGAGCCATAAGAAGAGTCAGACTGAAAGTGGAGAAAAATGATTTTGAGGGCTATGTACCAAAAATCAAAAAGCGAAAACAATTAGTGGGGGAGAGCAGGTGATCATTGGAAATTGAAACAAGATACTTTTTCCAGTCTCAATTAGATTCTTAATTTGATTTTTTGAAGTTTTTTGAGCTCTAGGAAATCACATTACCCGCAAAATTTTGTTTTTGTATTTTTGGATTTTTTCAGCGAGTTCTCGGAACTTCTGGGATTTCCGGATCTCTGAATTATCGAATGTCAGAACATCCCATTTTCCGGATTTGAAATTAAGGGATACATCGAAATATTATTTTTTTTTCAAAAAAACAAAAAAATTATCAATCATTTATTCTTATCAAACACTAATCGTTATTAATTAAACGTTAGTAAGTCATCAAGGAAGGCATTGCAATTCGCCGTCTCCAGAAGTCTGAACACACAATCCGTCTTCAACTTGACAGCCTCCACATTCTGATCCAGCTGGCCCAGTCTTAGTTTCAGCGTCCTTGAATGATGATCTGCAAAAAATATTTCTTATTTTCATACAGCCTAAAAATCTTACGTTGGAGTCAGCACACAGATTGTGGAGTACTGAATTTCCAGACCAGCACCTTCCATAGGAATTGCCTTGTGAAATGGAGCACATCCGATTTCAGTTTGAGTTGGGACAAATTGTTCCAGAGTGGTCACTGTATTATTCTCAAGACTATCGATCCATAGTTTCAATGTACCACTAGCTGATAAAGCGTCAATGTACTTAGTTGCTTCTTTTTCGAAAGATATGGCTTCCTTATTTCCATACTTGTAATCCGGGCCTTTGCCGGGCCTTCGCGGGCCCTGCCATAGATTCTTTCAGAATCAATGTTTTCAAACCAACTCAATCAGATATGATAGAGCTCCACGACTACTACAAAATGGTATCATTTGGAATACTGTGTCTTGTCTATGAACAGAGTTACAGAGCAAAAGGAACAAAAAAAGCAGGCCCGGCCCGGGCCTGCCGGGCTATGCGAGAAAAGCCACTTTATGATCTGTAACTTTGTTCATAGATAAGATACAGTATTCCAAATAATACCTTTTTGTAGTACTCGTGGAGCTCTATCATATCTGATTTAGTTGGTTCAAAAATATTGATTCTGAAAGAAATTATGGCAGGGCCCGCCAAGGCCCGGCAAAGGCCCGGATTACAAGTATGCTTATTTCGTCCAGCGAAAAAGTGGCGATAGTTCCGACCTGGCTTGTTTTTGATACGTTTTTCTTGAGAGAGCGCATGTGCTATTTTAGCATTCTCACCATTCCAGACCAATTTGAACATGTTAGCCACTTCCATCGCAGCTTCGATTGGCGGTGATGGGGTTCTTAGCTCCTCTGGAGAGGAACCTTCTGAAGCAGCTTTGATAAGTGTTGGTGTGGTTTTTAGTTCTTCTGGAGGGGAAATGCTCGTGGTAGTTGGCGGTGGAGCATTTGTTGGAGCGACTTCTTCAAATGGCATCTAACCTTCTGGAAGACTTCCAACACACAATCCATCTTCGACTTTGTCATTTCCGCATCCTGATCCAGGGGCACCAAACTTCCAAACAGAGTTTTTGAAAGAGCTTCTGAAATAAAAAAGTTCATTTTCAAAAGGGATTCAATTTAACTTTTTTTGCATTAAGACTATAATTACGTTCTTCCATCTTCCTGGGAAAAAATACCAATTTTTCCTTCGCAAACGCTATTTTTGGTCAAAACCACGTATACCAGGTACATGGCACCTAGAATTCGCCCAAAATCAACCATCTCCAAATTTTGTCAAGTTTTTCTCAGATGCACCATTTTTGATTGTGTTTAATCTGGCAAAGTTTCAGAAATAGTTCTCATCGTCTTTGGAAATTTTCAAAAACTCCGAAAAAGCATAAAAATTGCTATCTTGAATTCTGAAAATTTGACCAAAGTTGAAGATGGTTGATTTTGGGCGAATATTAGTTGCCATGTACCTTGCTACATGGTTTTTTAGACACCACATGATCATAATTTTGCAGGTGTGGGACAAGTCAAAACATACAAGAATTTTGCAACTGTGCGTATTGGGAAAAATGGAACAATATTAGTTTCGATGCGATCTATTTATGGAAAATTAGAATGCTATCCAGAAAAGCTTCAACCTCTAACCCTATATACCGTAAAACCTGTATTAGAAGGGCCCCTTTAATAGAAGGGCTCATATAATAGAAGGGACCTTTGAGTGGGTCTTGGAAAAATAGAAGAGCTCCATGTAAAAGAAGGGTCCGTAATAGAAGTGCCCACTGTGAAAACGGACCCTCTTCAAAATGTGTTTTGAAATTAGAAAATTTTCGTAATTTTTCAGTGGAAAGTATTCCAGGAACTCCAAAATTTGATAAAAATTTTTGAAACTCTATTTTCTTACAAAAATCTTGCTGAAATTTTGTGAAATTGGAAGATTTTCATGAATTTTCGTCGAATATTTAACTTCGTCGAATATTTTGATGCGTAATTTGGGAAAAAACTGACCGGAAAAATAGAAAGGCCCCCTCTAATTGAAGGGCCCCTGTAATAGAAGGGCTCTCCGGATGTACCTTGGAACAATAGAAGGACCGGCTCTTCTAATACAGGTTTTACGGTAACTCCTGAACTCACTTTGAACCCAGAGAGCAAATTGTTCTATACACACTGGAACCTTTCCATGGAGAACTCCAATTGTACATTCTCTCGCGAGATTCACAAGCGATACCGGTTTGAGTTGGCAACATATGCTCAAACGGCCAGTAAGGCCAATGATTACGGTCAATACTGTCCTTCATTTTCTCAAAAAATGTTGGGTCGTTGCGTATTTCAAGTAGGAGTTGGTCCACAACGCATACTTCGGCTGCAATAGCATTCTGATCTCGCCCTATCAACATTTCGCGGAAACTCGAATTGGGGGCACGGAATTCCGGCCAAAGGTTCGGGTTCAGCGTCTCATCCCAGTTCTGAAAACATGCAACCCATTGAAAACTAAAAAATCTCACAAACCAGTTCATACATGTTCGAAATATTCATACGCTCGGCAAACCAACCTCGTTCAAAATTTAATATTTCAAGGAGATCTTCATAGCCATGGAGTGTCGATTGGCATAGAGTGGCTTCAATGAGGCGAGCCTGTTGCGCGATAGTGGCAAGCATACTTGTAATCCGGGCCTTTGCCGGGCCTTGGCGGGCCCTGCCATAATTTCTTTCGAGAATCAAGTATTTTTGAACCTAACTAAATCAGATAGTGATAGAGCTCCACGAGTACTACAAAAAGGTA